TCCCACACACAGTTGTCCCACACACACAGTTGTCCCACACACAGTTGTCCCACACACACAGTTGTCCCACACACAGTTGTCCCACACACAGTTGTCCCACACACAGTTGTCCCACACAGTTGTCCCACACACAGTTGTCCCCCCCACACAGTTGTCCCACACACACAGTTGGCCCACACACAGTTGTCCCACACACACTTGTCCCACACACAGTTGTCCCACACACAGTTGTCCCACACAGTTGCCCCACACACAGTTGTCCCACACACACAGTTGTCCCACACACACAGTTGTCCCACACACACAGTTGTCCCACACACACAGTTGTCCCACACACACAGTTGTCCCACACACAGTTGTCCCACACACAGTTGTCCCACACACAGTTGTCCCCCCCAACACACAGTTGTCCCACACACACAGTTGGCCCACACACAGTTGTCCCACACACACAGTTGGCCCACACACACAGTTGTCCCACACACACAGTTGTCCCACACACAGTTGGCCCACACACACAGTTGTCCCACACACACAGTTGTCCCACACACAGTTGTCCCACACACACAGTTGTCCGACACAGTTGTCCCACACACACACAGTTGTCCCACACACAGTTGTCCCACACACACAGTTGTCCCACACAGTTGTCCCACACACAGTTGTCCCACACACAGTTGTCCCACACAGTTGTCCCACACACAGTTGTCCCCCACACACAGTTGTCCCACACACACAGTTGGCCCACACACAGTTGGCCCACACACAGTTGTCCCACACACACAGTTGGCCCACACACAGTTGTCCCACACACACAGTTGGCCCACACACACAGTTGTCCCACACACACAGTTGTCCCGGGACAACACACAGTTGTGCCGGAACAACCGTGGACATCTTCAAGAGAAAACTGGACGATTTTCTAAGAGAAGTTCCGGATCAGCCGGGCTGTGGTGGGTATGTGGGCCTGCGGGCCGCTCCAAGCAACAGCCTGGTGGACCAAACTCTCACAAGTCAAGCCTGGCCTCGGGCCGGGCTTGGGGAGTAGAAGAACTCCCAGAACCCCCATCAACCAGGTATCAACCAGGTCCCACACACAGTTGGCCCACACACACAGTTGTCCCACACACAGTTGTCCCACACACACAGTTGTCCCACACACACAGTTGTCCCACACACACAGTTGTCCCACACACAGTTGTCCCACACACAGTTGTCCCACACAGTTGTCCCACACACAGTTGTCCCACACACAGTTGTCCCACACACAGTTGTCCCACACACACAGTTGTCATACACAGTTGTCCCACACACAGTTGTCCCACACAGTTGTCCCACTCACACAGTTGGCCCACACACAGTTGTCCCACACAGTTGTCCCACACACAGTTGTCCCACACACACAGTTGTCCACACACAGTTGTCCCACACACAGTTGTCCCACACACAGTTGGCCCACACACAGTTGTCCCACACAGTTGTCCCACACACAGTTGTCCCACACACAATTGTCCCCACACAGTTGTCCCCCACACAGTTGTCCCACACACAATTGTCCCCACACAGTTGTCCCACACACAGTTGTCCCCACACACAGTTGTCCCACACACAGTTGTCCCACACAGTTGTCCCACACACAGTTGTCCCACACACAGTTGTCCCACACTCACAGTTGTCCCACACACACAGTTGTCCCACACACACAGTTGTCCCACACACACAGTTGTCCCCATACAGTTGTCCCACACACACAGTTGTCCAACACACACAGTTGTCCAACACACACAGTTGTCCCACACACACACAGTTGTCCCACACACACACAGTTGCCCCACACACACACAGTTGCCCCACACACACACAGTTGTCCCACACACACAGTTGTCCCACATACAGTTGTCCCACACACACAGTTGTCACACACACAGTTGTCCCACACACAGTTGTCCCACACACAGTTGTCCCACACACAATTGTCCCCACACAGTTGTCCCACACACACAGTTGTCCCACACACAGTTGTCCCACACACGCAGTTGTCCCACACAGTTGTCTCACACACAGTTGTCCCACACACAGTTGTCCCACACACACAGTTGTCCCACACAGTTGTCTCACACAGTTGTCCCACAGTTGTCCCACACAGTTGTCCCACACACACAGTTGTCCCACACACACAGTTGTCCCACACACAGTTGTCCCCACACACAGTTGTCCCACACACAGTTGTCCCCACACAGTTGTCCCACACACAGTTGTCCCACACACAGTTGTCCCCACACAGTTGTCCCACACACAGTTGTCCCCACACAGTTGTCCCACACACAGTTGTCCCACACACAGTTGTCCCACACACACAGTTGTCCCACACAGTTGTCCCACACACACAGTTGTCCCACACACACAGTTGTCCCATACACAGTTGTCCCACACACACAGTTGTCCCACACAGTTGTCCCACACAGTTGTCCCACACACACAGTTGTCCCACACACACAGTTGTCCCACACAGTTGTCCCACACACAGTTGTCCCACACAGTTGTCCCACACACAGTTGTCCCACACAGTTGTCCCACACAGTTGTCCCACACACACAGTTGTCCCACACACAGTTGTCCCACACACACAGTTGTCCCACACACACAGTTGTCCCACACACAGTTGTCCCCACACACACAGTTGTCCCCACACAGTTGTCCCACACACAGTTGTCCCACACACAGTTGTCCCCACACAGTTGTCCCACACACAGTTGTCCCACACACAGTTGTCCCACACAGTTGTCCCACACACAGTTGTCCCACACACAGTTGTCCCACACTCACAGTTGTCCCACACACACAGTTGTCCCACACACACAGTTGTCCCACACACACAGTTGTCCCCATACAGTTGTCCCCACACACACAGTTGTCCAACACACACAGTTGTCCCACACACACACAGTTGTCCCACACACACACAGTTGCCCCACACACACACAGTTGTCCCACACACACAGTTGTCCCACACACAGTTGTCCCACACACACAGTTGTCCCACACACACAGTTGTCACACACACAGTTGTCACACACACAGTTGTCACACACACAGTTGTCACACACACAGTTGTCCCACACTCACACAGTTGTCCCACACACACAGTTGTCCCACACACAGTTGTCCCACACTCACACAGTTGTCACACACACACAGTTGTCACACACACAGTTGTCCCACACACACAGTTGTCCAAATCACAGTTGTCCCACACACACACAGTTGTCCCACACACACAGTTGTCCCACACACACAGTTGTCCCACACACACACAGTTGTCCCACACACACAGTTGTCCCACACACACAGTTGTCCCACACGCACAGTTGTCCCACACACACAGTTGTCACACACCCAGTTGTCCCACACACACAGTTGTCCCACACACACTGTTGTCCCACACACACAGTTGTCCCCACACACAGTTGTCCCACACACACAGTTGTCCCACACACACAGTTGTCACACAGTTGTCCCACACACACAGTTGTCCCACACACACAGTTGTCACACAGTTGTCACACAGTTGTCCCACACACACAGTTGTCCCACACACAGTTCACAGTGCGGGGGGGGGGAGAGGTCACCAACGAGGCCCCATAAGGGGGGTCACATCATCTTGAGGTTACCTTAAGAGGGTTCCAGGGATCCATGTCCCCGGTGGCCCCGTCTCCGACCAGACCTCGTTGTTGGTGTTCTGGTTAACCAGGCTATTAGACGCCGCTGCTTGCAGTCAATCACAACCTACTTGATTAGCAGGAGTTGATCCTCTCAATGTTTACCGACGTTGGAACAATTACAGGACAGAATAGTCCTGTAGGTGGCTACTAGAGCTCGTTCCCAGCAAGTGTAAGGTCAGGACACTGGGTGCTCGAAAATTAGTCCTGAGGTTCCGGGTTCGATCCCCGGTGAAGGCGGAAACAAATGGGCAGAGTTTCTTTCACCCTGATGCACCTGTTACCTAGCAGTAAATAGGTACCTGGGAGTTAGACAGCTGCTACGGGCTGCTTCCTGGGGGGGTGTAACAAACAAGAGGCGTGGTCGAAGACCGGGCCGCGGGGACGCTAAGCCCAGAAATCATCTGGAGATAATTCTGCTGGACTGTGATCAAGACATGTGGGTTGATAGCTTACATCAACGACTCTCAGTCAACAAATACCATCAACTACACGCGCAGAATTGGCCCAACACATTAACTGCTTGTGGGAATCTAACGAGAGGCCGTACAGGGCCGAGTATTCCACATACGTCAGACGAATCCTTGAATATGCTGCAAATCGGTGGAGTCCTGATCTCTTTAAACACAACCTGCAAGAAATGTTGTGATGTCGAGAGACTTGCGTTACGAGGAAAGATTATCGCCAGCGGAAAAGAATCAGGTAGGACATGAGTACAACCTGAAAAATTCTTAGCAAAATGTATTGTCAAGATAAGAATATATATATGTTTATATGGGTGATTGACAATCGACCACAGGTGGAAAGTGAGTGGTCAAATGAGCCAGAAAGATGTAAATAATCTGGTGGTTGAGGGAGAGGTGAGAGGGAGAGAGGGAGGACGTGAGGGAATGGTGAGGGAGGAGAAATGCGGGAAGAAGTGTGGTGGTGAAGGCGGACTCAGCTTTAAATATAGATATGACAGCCCAATAGGCTTGGAGACCTGTACATCAGTCAACTTTAGGTTGAAAACTGCAACTAAAAAATGGCTGAATCTTAACCAATAAAAATACAGAAAGGTGACCCATATGTAATTACACCCCCCCCCACACTCCATCACACAATTAGGAAATCAAAACTTGCTTCCCTCTCCAATTAGTGCTTAATTAACTGAGCACTGAGGATGGGATCAACACGAAACTTTCCATAAATGTAATGTCTTCCATTAATAGCAGATAAAAGTTAATTACTACAGAGGCGCTAGGCCCGAAAATTCGATTAAAGTTTTATGACCAATGGATTTTAATTCCGCGGATTTTTTGGGGGATTTATCCGCGTTCCTTCGTTGTGTCTTGTGTTGCGTCCGCGTTCCTTCGCTGCATCTTGGGTTGCATCCGCGTTCCTTCGCTGCGTCTTGGGTTGCGTCCGCGTTCCTTCGCTGCGTCTTGTGTTGCGTCCGCGTTCCTTCGTTGTGTTTTGTGTTGCGTCCGCGTTCCTTCGCTGCGTCTTGGGTTGCATCCGCGTTCCTTCGCTGCGTCTTGGGTTGCGTCCGCGTTCCTTCGCTGCGTCTTGGGTTGCATCCGCGTTCCTTCGCTGCGTCTTGGGTTGCATCCGCGTTCCTTCGCTGCGTCTTGGGTTGCATCTGTGTTCCTTCGCTGCGTCTTGGGTTGCGTCCGCGTTCCTTCGCTGCGTCTTGTGCTGCGTCCGCGTTCCTTCGCTGCATCTTGTGCTGCGTCCGCGTTCCTTCGCTGCGTCTTGGGTTGCATCCGCGTTCCTTCGCTGCGTCTTGGGTTGCATCCGCGTTCCTTCGCTGCGTCTTGGGTTGCATCCGCGTTCCTTCGCTGCGTCTTGGGTTGCATCCGCGTTCCTTCGCTGCGTCTTGGGTTGCATCTGCGTTCCTTCGCTGCGTCTTGGGTTGCATCCGCGTTCCTTCGCTGCGTCTTGGGTTGCATCCGCGTTCCTTCGCTGCGTCTTGGGTTGCATCCGCGTTCCTTCGCTGCGTCTTGGGTTGCATCTGCGTTCCTTCGCTGCGTCTTGGGTTGCGTCCGCGTTCCTTCGCTGCGTCTTGTGTTGCGTCCGCGTTCCTTCGTTGTGTTTTGTGTTGCGTCCGCGTTCCTTCGCTGCGTCTTGTGTTGCATCTGCGTTCCTTCGCTGCGTCTTGGGTTGCATCCGCGTTCCTTCGCTGCGTCTTGGGTTGCATCCGCGTTCCTTCGCTGCGTCTTGGGTTGCGTCCGCGTTCCTTCGCTGCGTCTTGTGTTGCGTCCGCGTTCCTTCGTTGTGTTTTGTGTTGCATCCGCGTTCCTTCGCTGTGTCTTGGGTTGCATCCGCGTTCCTTCGCTGCATCTTGGGTTGCGTCCGCGTTCCTTCGCTGCGTCTTGTGTTGCGTCCGCTTTCCTTCGTTGTGTTTTGTGTTGCGTCCGCGTTCCTTCGCTGCGTCTTGGGTTGCATCCGCGTTCCTTCGCTGCGTCTTGGGTTGCATCCGCGTTCCTTCGCTGCGTCTTGGGTTGCATCCGCATTCCTTCGCTGCGTCTTGGGTTGCGTCCGCGTTCCTTCGCTGTGTCTTGTGTTGCGTCCGCGTTCCTTCGCTGCGTCTTGGGTTGCATCCGCGTTCCTTCGCTGCGTCTTGGGTTGCATCTGTGTTCCTTCGCTGCGTCTTGGGTTGCATTCACGTTCCTTCGCTGCGTCTTGGGTTGCAGCTGCGTTCCTTCGCTGCGTCTTGGGTTGCATCTGCGTTCCTTCGCTGCGTCTTGGGTTGCATTCACGTTCCTTCGCTGCGTCTTGGGCTATTTTCTTCAAGGTGTGTAGTGGTACTGGGGGATACTACGGGCTCACCATAGCCCGTGTTACTTGGAACTTTTTGTTCTAGGTAGCGAATCTTTAACAACAACAACTGGGGGATACTCTAGATGCGGCCGAACTAGAGCCTTATATAGGTGGATCTGAATGTTTGTACTGAGGCTTCGGAATCTCCTCAGTTTTCCTAAGGCTGCTTTGGCTTTGTTTAGTCGGTCCCTTACATGAATTTGTATCCCTGTTCTATTGATCGTGAGTGCCAGTATTGTGCCCACCTCCGCATGTTGGATCGGGCGGTTGTCAAGGATAATGGGGTCCGGGTTTCTTTTTGCAATGTTTGTTATCTGGAACTTTTGTTTATTTGTGTTTGTTTTCCTTTATTTTTTGGAGTTATTTATGAAGTCAATTGCTGCCTTGGCCTTGTTGGCTAGTAGCGGCTTTGTTGGTCCTGGTGATGGCCATGTTATTGGGGTTACAGTAGTTGTCTTAATCACCCTCCACCCCCTTCACACTAGCCCCCATCCCTCACCTTCCCCCACTTACCCTCCCCCGTCACCCTTACCTAATAAACTGCCCCGCCCAATATTCCCCCCCCCCCTGCTACTCACACTCCCCCCCCCCCGAGTCAGTCTTTCACACTCATCCACACTTTCTCCCGTTCTAGTTGATGTCTTCCTCGTACTCTCTCTCTCGCCCTAACAGTTTCCTCATTATATTTTCTCTCACCCCCCCCCCCTACACATCCCTCACCCCCCCCTACACATCCCTCACCCCCCCCCCCTACACATCCCTCACCCCCCCCTCCTACACATCCCTCACCACCCCCCCCTCCTACACATCCCTCCCCCCCCCCTCCTACACATCCCTCACCCCCCCCTACACATCCCTCACCACCCCCCCCCCCCTACACATCCCTCTCCGCTCTTCTCTATTGATTGTTGGTTCTCCAGGTTCCCGACACAACACTAATACCCCCCCCCCCTCCTCCTTCCCCCTCGCCCCGGTTGTTAAGGGTTGTAGCCCCCCCCCCCTCCTCCTCCTCGTTAGTAACTACGGGTTGTAGCCCCCGCCCCTTCCCCCCCTTGATAGTACCTGGTTGATGGGGTTCTGGGAGTTGTTCTACTCCCCAAGCCCGGCCCGAGGCCGGGTGACTTGTGCCCGGCCCGAGGCCGGACTGACTTGTGAGAGTTTGGTCCACCAGGCTGTTGCTTGGAGCGGCCCGCAGGCCACATACCCACCACAGCCCGGTTGGTCCGGCACTCCTAAAACTATCCAGTTTTCTCTTGAAGATGTCCACGGTTGTTCCGGCAATATTTCTTATGCTCGCTGGGAGGACGTTGAACAACCGCGGACCTCTGATGTTTATACAGTGTTCTCTGATTGTACCTATGGCACCTCTGCTCTTCACTGGTTCTATTCTGCATTTTCTTCCATATCGTTCACTCCAGTATGTTGTTATTTTACTGTGTAGATTAGGGACCTGACCCTCCAGTATTTTCCAGGTGTATATTATTTGGTATCTCTCGTCTCCTTTCTAGTGAGTACATTTGGAGAGCTTTGAGACGATCCCAATAATTTAGGTGCTTTATCTCGTCTATGCGTGCCGTATATGTTCTCTGTATTCCCTCTATTTCAGCAATCTCTCCTGCTCTGAAGGGGGAAGTGAGTACTGAACAGTACTCAAGACGGGACCCTGGATCGTGATGGGATCCCTGGATCCCATCACAATGTAACTAGCGGTTGTAGCCCATAGTTGTTATCGCACCAAACAAACGCTGCACTCTATCCCAACAACGACGGGGAAGGCTGTGTAGGGAAGTTGAAATGATCAAGCTCAAGCTGAGAGAATCATATAAACTTCAAGAGAGGCAAAGGCAGCAAAAGGCCACAAGTGAAATAGAGAGGAACCCGAAATACATTTCTCGTATCCAAAAACAAGAACAAAAACTGCATTCAGCATTGGGCCCTTGCGCAAGAGTGATGGAACTTTCACAGATGACAATAAAGACATGAGTGAAATACTGAGGCTTCAGTATGATTGTCTTCAGTGAACCCCTGACCACGTTGAAGGTCGATGATCCAAATGAATTCTTCATGAATGTGACACCAATATTGAACTACATATCAGATGTCACCCTAACCCCACTGGTCTGTGAAGTAGACAGCATGTCCATGCACGCTGCACCAGGCCCAGACTCGTGGAGGTCTATACTCATCAAGAAGTGCAAAACACCACTATCACAGGTCCTAAACATCTTTGATGAGACGGAGCCTAGATACTGGCGTCATCCCTGACAGACTTAAAACAGTGAAGATCGCGCCACTTCATGCAAGTAGACAATATAGAGGATAAGGAAACCCTCCAATCGGATGTAAATCGGGTCTTTCAATGGGTCCTTCATTGTTTGTTGACGTCAGTCAATAATTATATATGTATTAATGTCCATTATTTTAAGATAGATTTTGTACCTCGTGGCACTGGCTCGCCTACAGAGAGATACAAAATCATTTGTTTTCGTTATAAAGCTGACGATGCTAAACTTTCCGTATTGACAACGGAACATTCTTCCCTCAGACATTCACCTCCACCTACTCACAAAAATCACAATAACGTGATGCATCAAATGAACAAATCCACAAGGGCCGTGACGAGGATTCGACCCTGCGTCTGGGAGCATCGATTAAGGCAGCGTCTGGGATGCACCCGGACGCAGGTTCGAATCCTCATCACGGCCCTTGTGAATTTGTTCATTCACCTCCAAGGTTGGAAAACCTTGAGAATCCCACAAGCCCACGAACCCAAGCAACCCACCTGACCTGTAGAAACATAAATTTTACAATACTTCAATTTTTTTGTACACATCTTGAGGTTATCTTGAGATGATTTCGGGGCTTTTAGTGTCCCTGCGGCCCGGTCCTCGACCAGGCCTCCACCCCCAGGAAGCAGCCCGTGACAGCTGACTAACACCCAGGTACCTATTTTACTGCTAGGTAACAGGGGCATAGGGTGAAAGAAACTCTGCCCATTGTTTCTCGCCGGCGCCTGGGATCGAACCCAGGACCACAGGATCACAAGTCCAGTGTGCTGTCCGCTCGGCCGACCGGCTCCAACATACTGTACATTGTATATTTATCTGAGATGTTTGATTCCGTAAGAAACGCGACGTATTTGGCGAGATGTTGAACTTTGCATAAATGTTGCAGTCACTTCAGAACACTCGGCCGTACACCGAAGTGTTCGAAATGGAGACATGTAGGCACCGAACGGTCATTTTAAGCGGCTATGTTGCAATAGTTGAGTGTGACTAGCACTCTTCTGGTCGTTAAAGGTAGTCACTTATTACAGAGAAAGGAATTCACTGATAATTACTGTACTACAATTTACACTGTTTAATTTCCTGTGTACTGGAGTGTTCATTAAGTTGAAGCATCATGAATAAGTTCTCAGAAGGAGTGATGGTCGGGAGATGGTTTAGGGAGCCGGTCGGCCGAGCGGACAGCACGCTGGTCTTGTGATCCTGTGGTCCCGGGTTCGATCCCAGGCGCCGGCGAGAAACAATGGGCAGAGTTTCTTTCACCCTATGCCCCTGTTACCTAGCAGTAAAATAGGTACCTGGGTGTTAGTCAGCTGTCACGGGCTGCTTCCTGGGGGTGGAGTCCTGGTCGAGGACCGGGCCGCGGGGACACTAAATCCCCGAAATCACCTCAAGATAACCTCAAGATGGGTGTTCTTGCAAGAACAAGCTAGGCTTAGCTCACGTAATGGCCGTATTGCAGTACTTGATTAATTACTTTACTGGAGTAATTAATTTGGATAACTTACAGATGTTAAGCACCGTAACTAGTCTTGAATCATTCTGTTGTTGTTGTTGTTGTTTAAGATTCAGCTACCAGGAACAAGCAGTTCCAAGTAGCACGGGCTATGGTGAGCCCGTAGTGGACTTACCTGGCACAGGAGGAACGAGGCTGTTTGGAATCATTCGACAGTTACGCGTTATATCACTTCCTTTGGTATTTGAATACTCTCTATGGTATTAATTGCTGTAGTTGAGTTTGATGTTTGCGACGTGGGTTACCTGGAGTTTACCTGTAGAGGGTTCCGGGAGTTCTTCTACCCCCCCACCCGGCCTGAGGCTTAAGACTTAAAACTCCAGCTGTCTTTAGGGCCCGGGGGTGCCTGCTTGGGGGTACCCTGGGCCCGGGGATGCCTGCTTGGGGGGTACCCTGGGCCCTGGGGTACCTGCTTGGGGGGGTACCCTGGGCCCTGGGGTACCTGCTTGGGGGGGTACCCTGGGCCCGGGGATGCCTGCTTGGGGGGGTACCCTGGGCCCTAGGGTACCTGCTTGGGGGGGTACCCTGGGCCCTGGGGTACCTGCTTGGGGGGTACCCTGGGCCCTGGGGTACCTGCTTGGGGGGTTACCCTGGCCCTAGGGTACCTGCTTGGGGGTACCCTGGCCCTAGGGTACCTGCTTGGGGGTACCCTGGCCCTAGGGTACCTGCTTGGGGGTACCCTGGCCCTAGGGTACCTGCTTGGGGGGTACCCTGGCCCTAGGGTACCTGCTTGGGGGTACCCTGGCCCTAGGGTACCTGCTTGGGGGTACCCTGGCCCTAGGGTACCTGCTTGGGGGTACCCTGGCCCTAGGGTACCTGTTTGGGGGTACCCTGGCCCTAGGGTACCTGCTTGGGGGTACCCTGGCCCTAGGGTACCTGCTTGGGGGTACCTGGCCCTAGGGTACCTGCTTGGGGGGTACCCTGGCCCTAGGGTACCTGCTTGGGGGGTACCCTGGCCCTAGGGTACCTGCTTGGGGGTACCCTGGCCCTAGGGTACCTGCTTGGGGGGTTACCCTGGCCCTAGGGTACCTGCTTGGGGGGTTACCCTGGCCCTAGGGTACCTGCTTGGGGGTACCCTGGCCCTAGGGTACCTGCTTGGGGGG